CCCCTCCTGGACCCACCTCAGCTGCCCAGTCTTTGCAACTAGGGGGCACAGGCACCACTTGAAGGGCATTTAGGGTCAGTGGCTCAACCTGTTTGATGGTCAATCTCCTCTTCTGTCCCAGAACGTGCTGTTCATGCTGGGTCATATTCAAGTCTTCCTGGACACCCACAGTCCTTCTAGCCTGGCCTTTGTCTCTCCGAATAGAGGAAATACTAGATATTTACCAAAAAGTTGCACTAGGAAGCAGAATAAAATCTGGAATAAATCTTATTTTCTTTCCAACCAGACATAATCTGAAACATTTTCACAAGGGAGACCTGTCACAGTATTGGTCAATCAGCAAATGATCAATCCCTGCAACCGCCTAGATGCAATTCTATCCTTTCACATGGACACACTCATGGTGTTTGTGGAAGACTATACTTTCAAAAGATGGTGGTAACCCTGTCTCCCATCCCATGTGACAATGTGACTCAATGCTCATATTGAAGCATGGGTCTCTATTCCTTGAACCTGGGCCGGCTGTGTCTGAAGCAAAGTAATGACGTGATTTCTGAGGTTAGGTCATAAAAGGTAACACAGCTTATATCTGGTTCTCTTGGGATGCTTGCTCTTGGGATCCAACCCTCCTGTTGTGAGGAACCCCAAGCAGCCACATGGAGGGACCACATATAGGTGTTCCAGAGAACAGCCTAGTTGAGGTCCTGACTGACAGGCAGCATCGAACACCAGACATGAAGTGAAGGTGCCTTCAAATGATTTCAGCCCCACAGCTGACATCACCCCTGGTCTTTGAGTCATCTCAGTGGAACATGAAACAGAAACAAGCTGTCCCCACAGTGCCCTTTCTGAATTCTCAACCAACAGGAGGCATACAAAAAATTAAATAGTGGTTGTTCTACGCCAAAAAGTTTGCGGTGATTTATTACCCAGCAATAGTAACTGGAACTACATTTTCTTCCTAGGCTGTCCTTTCTCTATTCTGCTCCTGGGGACTCTTACTCTCCCCTCAATGAATAATTCAACTGTTACCCTTCAGATGCACATTTTTCTTCTCTTGGGTGAGAGGCAGTGCAACAGAGCAGTAAAGCACTGGACTCTGGAGTCAGCCTGCCTGGGTTCAACTCCTGGCTCCATGACTTACTTGATAAACTTATGGTTTGTGACCTTGGATGAGCTGCTTATCTTCCCTGTGCCTCAATTTCCATATCTGTAAATGAGGATGAGAATAGTAGTACATACTTCATAGGTGAGGAGTGAGTTGGAAAGCACTTAGAACAGTGCTTGCCACTTAGCACAATTTAAGTGTTGGTTATGTCTCGTTCTTCTGGGACCCTTTCCAACTATAATCAAAATCCCAAATGAACTCATTCTCTAGAATTTCTCAAGACTCTGTATCTTCTGGGCTCAGACAGGACCACGACCATGGCTCCAGATAACAAGAGTATTCACTGGGCTAGAGCTACACTTCAGCCATCAGAACTACACAGCATCTGGAGAAGACCAGGGGGAAGGAGCCGCCCTTGACTGAAAGCATCTGGTCCTTGGGTATGTGATGCTCCACTGTCTGCCACCAACATTTTTGTTCAGCCATCAGAGAACTGTAAAGAAATGTATATGGGTTTAATTATATTAAGTTTCAGAACCATTCTGAGTATAAGGACGGACTGCTGGGAAACTGTAACCCACATCACCACATGGTCACACTGCTGCTGCTGCTGCTTCTTCGTCCCCCTCCTCCTCCTCCTCTTTTTCTTCTTCCTTTTTATGCTTCGAGACAAATGTGCTTCCATGCTGATCAGCTCTTGGAACCCTAAAATCTGTCGGAGAATTAGGATTTACAAATAAAAAACTATGTTTTTAAAAGCTTTATACTGAAATTGAACATTGTAATTTAGTCTTACTGGAGGACATTGAGGCAGGATTCGTCTTCTTACTGATTCTGCAATATGGCCATTTAAGTTTTCTATTCTAATTAGCAATGGGATCTCAAAGTTCAAAATTTCCTAAAGTTCATTTTATCTATTCCCCATCTAATGCTCAACGAACTTTCATAAAATCTCTACCAATTTTAAAATATGCTAAATTCTCACAACTTTAGAAACATAGAAGAAAGCCAAGGATAATTTAATTAGAAGTCTAAACTCAAATCAATTTTTAATTTCAAATATAAGGCATGTTATGAGCTAAGAGATAGCATAAAGGAATGTAAAATATAAACTAATCAGCAATGAAAAATGTATCATTCTGCAAGCAGCCAACCAAATAGGACATATCACAACCAGGGTAAGAATGAATTGAAGGGCCTAAAGGCGGGAACACATGAAAAAGATACTTTCCAATAAATCCTTGGTTTGAAACCTATTCCTTCTAAGATGGTTCTCTTTTGTTGACCATGGCTTTAGAAATTTAGAAGTGAACAATTTTTACAGCAGCTTTGGTCTGAATTAGAGGAGCAAGGATTACAGAATGGTAGCACTAAAGGGAGATAATGGGGCCTATCTTTGTTCCAGTGAGAAATGGAAGTCCCAGAGAGGCTGAGGAATTCCAACAGAAGAGTAATAACACATTTGTCTTACAGAATCAAAGAAACAGAATGGCTGAGAGCACAGGCTCTGTGGGCACACTGCTGAGATTTAAATCTTGGCCCTTACTAGTTGAGTGAACTTGTGTAATCTCTCTGTGTTTATTTTCTCAATTGTAAAATGGAGATAATTATAGTATTATCACATGGGGTTATCATAAAGATCAAGTCAGGAAATACACTGAAAGAGTGAACATGAATCCTGTTAGGAATCAGACTGCGGTGTTTAATTTATAATGGAATGTCAACACACTACTTCTAACAGAACACACCCAAGGTCACACCCTAGCTACAAAATGACTAACAGTTCCTTCATCTGAGTGATTCTGCTCCCTCACCATCATCATCCCTAGTCTCACTTTTTCCTTCATACCTCCAGAACAAAATTATTGAGACGCCCAAATGCTGAATTGTCCTTGATAGCATCCATTCCAAAACAAGTCCCTGTTTTCCTGATGCCACCCATCATAAGTCTAAATCTTATAACTCGTTTGTATAGAGACATCCTCAGGTGTATGCTCTCTTTTGCTGCAGCAAGCTAATTAAACTTAATCTTGTTTGAGTTTGGGAGTGCCCCTGGTGGTCTCTGACTAATGGGCTTCCACAATGCTCAGCATATATAATAGCATACTATATGCACAAGAAATGCTAGCCACTGGCAGTAGTAGGCAAGTCTTTTTATTCCCAGCTTCTTGCATACAGCACACCTCAAGACATGCTTGTTCAATAAAGGGCTATTCTCAAATAACTGGGAAGCCAGGCTAAGATGAGAAAACAAAGCAAACATTTAGAGACTGTGCTTTGTTTTCTAATTTTTATTTTTAGAGAACAGTCCAAGTAGTTACCAGGAATTGACCATTACCTAGACTTTTTTTTTTTTTTTTTTTTTCTTGCGTTTTGC